GCCTTTCTGCAGTTTCACAATTATGATTCTAGCCTCTGCAGTCTCTGTGCACACACAACACAGGTGGAGCAACGTGCAGCCACGGCTGAAGTTGTGCTGTGTGGCTGCAAACCAACAGCCATGCAAAGGGAAGCTACCTTGAGTACTGCTTCTGAAAGGGAACCAAGGGGTGGAGTTCTGCAGTGCAGAATGGGATGTAGCTGAGAGCACTCTGCAGCAGGAACAAGGCCCAGTGACTGCCCACAGGGAGGTAGCGTACCTAGGATCTGAGCTGGCCGAGGGGAGAAGCCAAAGGAGTACACAATGAATGCCCAGCACAGCCCTCAGACATTGCGATTCCTTGTCCCTTCTCTCCTTGTAGCTCAGAAACTGAAGTTCCTATACTGTCTGTCCCCTGCCACTGCCCCCACCTTTCCAGTTCACAGGAAGAGCAAGGATGGCAAAGGTAGGGAGAGGGTGCTGCTGCCTAGGGTGGGGGCAGACTGGCTAGGGTGGGCTGCAGCAAACAGCAGGTACATGACAGGGAGCAACAGTTCTTGGCTCCACAATTGCGGGATGCACAAATCAGCAGGCAAACTTGGCTGGCCCATGCCAATGAGACATTCCCCTCCTGGCTAATTCATTGGCCTGCTCTGACTCCCAGAGTACCCTGGACAAGAGCTATGCTACTGCCCCCTCCTACCACAGATGGGTACAGGGCAGCAACAGGCTGGACCTGCCTCGGAAAGGACAGCTGGGCAGGTGTCATCCTGGCAGGGCCCTGCAGGCAGCTGGGGAGGGGAAATGGGAGAGGCATGGGGGCTCCTGGGGTAGCCACGAGAAGGCATCTGAGCTCCACAGTGCAGCAAGTGAGATCAGTGGCTGTACGTCCTTGGGCTGTGTCCAGGCATGAAGCCAGATTGAGCCACAGCTCCCAGCGGAAGTGCAGCACTTGGCCTGTGCTTTGAAGTCAGCCAGAACCTAGGCGAGAGATTAAACGATACCTCACTGCTCCGCACTGACACCTCTTCAAGTCAAGGGCCCCTAGCTAGTGGCTCAGCCTCTCTGCAGGCTCAAGGGAGTGATACCTGTTCCCCCTGCGGGTGTGTTAACTTCTGGGGAGTGTTTCCTTTTAATCTGAAGCCAGGAGCCTATTTTTAGGAAGCCAAGAATCTGGAGCCCCTTTACCCAGCAGTGCTGGCTTCTCCAGTGCCACGTGCTGCCCCCGAGCCTGGGGCTGCCTGCCCCCATACCATGCCCAACCTCCCTCCCCTTCAACAAGGACAGCAGCCAGGGACCCCTCCTGCCTTTTCCCGGGCCTTAGAACCAGCCACGGCAACACGCTGCCGAAGCCACCAAGCTGGCGAGAGCCGGCTCAGGAGCCTGACCGCGGAGCCCCGCGCGCCGGCGCCTCCGCCCGCCCTGGAGCTGCCGGCTCTGCACGGAGCGGGCTGGCTGGTCTGCACCACGGCTTCCTATGCCTGCCCCTCCGGGTAGCGCTCCTGCGGGACCCGGATGCCGGCGGGCAGCAA